CACAAGAACACCAGGTTCAGGTGTGTCTGCATCCATATGGTGAGGTACACTGACCATGGCAGAAAGAGCTCTGGGATGGCTGATTAGGCAGGCACCATATGGAGGTGAGACACTGCGTTTTAAAAGAAAGGTTCTCCCCAGACCTTCTGCTAGAAAGCAGAAGATCTACCATGTGCAGGTCCTGGCCTTCTGTAAATTCAGCTGTCTGATTGCTCTAGAACAATGCGATCCAGAAGAATTCAGCCTCAGACTGGAACAAATCCAGATGCAGCTCCAAGACATGAAGAGACAGTTGCTGAATGGAGTGAGCCACATAGGTAAGAAACACACATCTACTCTGGAGTCCAGCTTACCTCCCAAGGATAAAGACCCCATGCCCTGCTGTCCTGGATGGCCTGTATCATGAACAGATTTGGTACCAATACGTGCAGGTAGAATTTTGTGTCACATCTAGGCCTGCTGATGGAAATTCTTGAACTACAGCATCATTAAAGCTAGCCCTAATCTAGCTACTCTCGCAGCAACAGCAGCTTTCTCCTGCAAGACCTAAGCACATCTGTACAAACAGTGAGGGATTTAAGCTCACAGTTCCCTTCAGATAAATAATCATCTCTACTTTACACAAGAGAAAAGAGAAAGAGGGGAAAAAAAGCGGGGTTTTCCCCAAATAATTGGGTGAGGGCACTGAGCTCTTCATCATTTCAAGCCCCTTCCCTGTTGGTACAACACATGCCAGTAGCTGTGGCTGAAGACAGCTAAGACTGCCACAGCCCTGCCAGTTCCTATGGGTGTGTTCTTCAGGATTTGGGGTGATTTATAAGCACAGCAGGAAGCGTAACAGCTGGCTTCTTTGGTTATTTCAGGTATTAAATCCAGCAATTTTCCAGCTTTCTACTTCCCTGTGGAAAACATTGAGAGTTTTGTGAACGTTCATCCCCTCCACGATATGTCTCTCCAAGCCTTCACCCTATGCTTCCGGACAAAAGCCCAGCACGCTGGCAGTCAGACTGTTCTCTCCTACTCCACACACGAGAGGGACAAGGAGCTAGTGCTGACCGTGGGCACAGATGTGGGATTATGGATAGGAGGCCATTTCATCAGCTTCCCCCTATACCACAAGACGCAAGATTGGCTGCACTACTGCATGGCATGGGCCTCCCAGTCTGGAATGGCAAATTTATGGCTGAATGGAGCAGCTGGTAAAGCACAGAGTATCCAGAAAGGGTACGTGAGCCAGGCTGGAGGGACGCTTGTCCTTGGGAAAGACAGAGACATTCTTCTTGGGACGTTCTCCAACAGTTTTGCAGGATGGATGACTCATGTGAACATGTGGAGCCAAGTTCTCAGTCCTGCAGATGTTCGGGCACTTGCACTGTGCAAACCAGGGCAACTGAAGGGAGATGTCATAGCCTGGGGAGAAACTGCCATGACCCTCTTGGGTGGGGTAGTTCTGGAGTCTGACACCAGCTGCCAGTGACCAACATCTTTTTT